TGTGCTGAGAATGGGTTGCAGAGCGATGGGGGGGAGGGGGGGGGTAGAGGGGCAATAGGCGAGTGTCAATCAGTTAATGGCTGACTTGGTAATGAGTGAACGTGAACAGGGGACACGGCATGCCCCCCCCCCCCCCCCCCCCGTGGTTACGCCCTTGTCCACGCGCCTCTTACAGTCTCCATCGGTGTTCTGTTCTCCCCCTTGACTTCCAGTTTAATCTGTCTGTCTTTCCATTACTCAGCGACGCAAATCACCGACTTCCCCCCCCCAAACAGCTAATCCGTGTGGCGAGGTCAATTTTCTGTTGAACCGCATATTAAAACGGACAAGGCGCACGAGCTAAGCAACTTTTGATTGAAGTGTTGCTGCAGCGCCTCCTGGGATGCAAGTGTGAGAGAGAGAGAGAGAGAGAGAGAGAGAGAGAGAGAGAGAGAGAGAGAGAGAGAGAGAGAGAGAGAGAGAGAGAGAGAGAGAGAGAGAGAGAGAGGAGAGAGAGAGAGAGAGAGAAGAGAGAGAGAGAGAGAGAGAGAGAGAGAGAGAGAGAGAGAGAGAGAGAGAGAGAGAGAGGGGAAAAGTGCAATGGGCTGCAGTCGAGTCAGGCGGAAGCATCTCGGCAGTGAGGAAGGTCAGCGGCAGAAGCATAGCAAGCAGTAAAAACGGCGCTTGGCAGAAGGCCGTGCGTGGATTCGCTGTTAAGAAAGCGAAGAGAAGCGAAAGAGAGAAGGCGGCCGTGCCTGTCACGCGACCGGCGGCTATGACGATCAGTCACAATGCCGTGGCCTAGTTTTAGTGAGTCGAGATTCTCATTTGGACATCCATGCAGCAGGGGGAGAATCTGTAAGTAAACATCTCTATCCGCCCTGTCTGGTGTCAAAGAAACAGGCGAGTGGAGCTGTGGCGGAGTATTTTATTCCTAAAATTAGGCCCCATGACACCAGATTTTGAGCTTCATTTGGATGCCGTACTCCCGACGGGAGCCATTGTTACTGACCTGTTCTCCTTTCTCACATAGCTACCTCCAGCCAGGACACTGTCACAGACACCCTTTTTTCTAATCTCATAATGACCTCTGTGTTCTCCACTATGCTGGCATTCAGTCCAAGAAAACATATTTTCTGAAATAAGATTTATTGACCAAGTAGGTCTCGAACCGTTGCTAAATTTGTGATAAAGTCCACTGCAAACTCAAGGTATTGAATTAGCACATATGAAACATCATCAATAATCTTTTTTCATAACCAATTCATCATGCAATGTAAAAACAAGTATTGAAATTATGACAATTCAACCCAAATGTCTTTTAGCGTAAAATGTCCACCCCCTCGCGTAGTGGACAGACACGGCGTTAGCTGTAACTTAACGGGATAATTCCAGTTTCTCCCGCTGGGTTCTGTCACCAGTTCTCCATTACCGTCAAGTGTTAAGTGGCCCCGACTGTGCCTTTTTTCAAAAAGGGACCATGTTGCAACCGCTCTCGAGATAACGCTGGCAAATGAATTGCGATGATGACCGTTGGCGCTGTTGTGTAACCACTGCAAGCCGCCATATTTGACTTTGTGCTGTTTAACAGAGGGCTATTGCATGCGACAGATCCTCCGAGGCTCCCGAAACACATCGTTATTATCATCTAATCTGTGGGACACAAAAGTTCAAACCAAACTCTCCAAGTTAACCACGGCTTTATCTTCTCCCTCACCATGTTCAGCGTTGAGTTGTCGTCTTGTATGCTAATCCCACAATCTGTCCCTCACCTCGTCTATAGCGGAGCACCTTGCTGCTTCTCAGCCTTGTTCAAAAGGTACAAGGAGAAGCAGAGATGCGTCACGCACGCACACGTGAATCCCACATACCATGTGCACGTATATACGGAGGAATGCACTGAAACAAGCACAAATATAAACTGGAATATCTGGAGTTCAGAATATCATTAGTTCTAAAAGGGGGCAGCCGGACAAGGTGAACTTATTACTCATTTCCCCAAAAGCTGGAGAAAGTTCCTTCCAATCCTCGTCTCCATCTGCAGAGTCCACCCACATCAGCCTCAGATAAGACTCCCGTTCATTGTGGTTGTTAATGTGGTCCGTCAACAGACTTACCGCGGGAAAGGAAAGCGCTCTCTATCTCCTTCCTCCGGAGGTTGTAGAAGTTGCTCTCCTCCATCTTATCGTCTCAGTAAATGGAGCTGTAGTTCTTTGCAGCGGGCGGCATGGACAGATTAGGCAGAACGTACGAGCGGAGGCTCGATTAGCATTCCGCCCGGCCTCCTGCGCCCGCCGACTGCACCTCGTCGATTGGCTTCCATTAACCTGCCAGTCGGCTTTTCGCTACTTCATTAGAGACGGCGCGGAGTCCGTCCCCGTGGCCTGGACGGGGACGGACGGACTCTCTGCAGCTCGCCTCGGCTCCTGCACACTATCATTTCATGGCTATTAATCGGTTTTCCGAAAGAATGTGTTGGCAAGGAATGTTTGAACGTTTGCACACACATGCAGTTCTCTTCCTCTTTTGGGATACTTGAAGAATTTAATAGAAGAATAAGATTATCAGTGGCTGCTCTTACTTGTTTTCATATGATAGGGGCTGATTTAAATGTAACGGTTAGGATATTGGCTTCAAGTTACACATCACTCGATACGGTTTGTGTTCTTATTTGGAAGTCTTACTTTCTCAAGAAGTTCACTCAAACATTCTTCTCCTCCGACTTCAAAAGACAAAGCTTGAGGGACTTAAAGAAGAGCAGAAATTATTTAAAAAGTGAATTCTCTAAATCTGTTATCTGTTTATTGAGGGTATGAAAGCTCAGATGGATTGAAGTTTTAACATCCACGCAGCTTGAATATATTTCATTTATGAAAATAAAATGCAACGCCTTTATATGCTTATTGTTGACCCTATTTTGAGGTTCAAAGATTTCCGTCACCTTTGTCCTCATTTCATAAATCGGTATCATAAATGGTGAATCTCACCGGGCTGCCTGGAGCATTGCCTGCTCATAATAGTCCCACATAAATGGTTGGCGGTGCTGCCAGTTGACTCACAACAGTGTTTTCTCATGGGAATGAGAATAGAGTTAATTAGAAACAAGTTGAAATGCAAGAGGTTTGTTGATTTGAGGTAATCTCAGTATATTTCAGTATTTGTGTCCATGAATGCATCATCTATGGACATCAAAAAGAAGAGAATTCTGAACACTCAACTGAAATCCACAAAATAGATTATTGTTACATAGATCAAAACTTTTAGCTATTTTTGGCTCAACAATGGCAGGAAAGTCTGGCTTGGAGTGAGACGAAGTTGAGCCGGGCTCTCTGGGGTTTGCCCTTTGATCTGGGGAGCTTTGAAGGACCCTGGAGGACACACTGGGACTGTGGACGTGAACTAAAGCTTCATGTGGCTCAAGTGGCCTCATTTGATAAGGAAAGCTTCCTTGACCTCCATTTCTTTTCTTTTTATTATGTTTTAGTTTCTTTCTGTGCCAGGCTGACATTTGGCATGACATTTCCAGTGGAGTTTTTCCTCAGTGAGAAAACAACCCAACATACACTACAGAGTAAGATATACAGAAAACAGTTAAGAGGGAAGCATCGGGGGACGTAGCAATTTTCTTCTCTGTTAAGCAGGATGATGAGATGATTTGTTGGATCAAATCACTTTTTATGAAACGGTGACTTTGCAAAGGGAATGGAGGCAGACATGATGGGTACCCAAACAAATGAGGAAGAACTATCCCGATCGTAACGTTTGCCACAGACGTCATCATGAGCAGCGTAGACCGAAGGAAAAACCTTTTTCATTTGTGATTTTTTTTTTAAAAACTTTGATTGTCTTTTCATGTGCAGTCTATCGCTCTGCGACGTTTGAGCATCCAGCTAATCTGTCTTTCCACTTTCCTTCTTCTCCTTGACCGCATCAATCTCCATGCACCCCCCCCCAACTCCCTCCTCCCCCCAACTAATTCAGCCCACTCAGACTCGTTATTAAGGGGACATATTGGAAAACCATTAGCTCTCATTATGCTTCTCGTTCTCCCCATTCTGTCTTTTAATCACAATACATCCTGTGTGTGTGTGTGTGTGTTCGTGTGGCAGTATGCATGTGTGTACATTGCAGCCAACCCCCCCCCCCCCCCCCGGCAGTAATGAGCCCCTTTTCCCCTAAAGGTTTTGGGAAGCCACAGAGCCCCCCCCCCCCCCCCCCCACCCTATCCCCCCCCTTTTATATTTGGGGGGGGGGCTTTAGGTTCCGGCCCAAATTTTTATGGAAGCCCTTTGCTTCTTGTAGCTCCGAATAACCAGCCTCTGGTAGGAGCTGGATGTCCTGTCGCAGCTCCGTATCGGATTGTTCTCGGGTTTAATTATCCACGATTGCACGCGTGCGTTCGTGCACACGCGTGTTTCGCTGGCACACGGGGAGGCACAGCAGTTTGGACCATTCAAAGAACACACACACACTTGTGTAATATGCAGATTTGAATTCTGGTTCTTCTCACCCGGCCAAGTCACCTGACATCCTTGTGCAGCAAAACTCCCATAATCCATCTGTTGCATGACAGCATCCCAACGGCAGAGAGAAAAGCTCTTTCTTTATGTGTCTCTCTGTCTCGATCTCCTCCTTTTTTTCCTCCATTGTCACTCCCTCCTTTTCACATTCCCCCTCTGGACCAGTTTTTATTCTCCTCTGATCTTTTTTCTTTTTTTCTCCTTTTCCAATTACATCTTTCCCATTTAATCTCCTCTTTCTCTGGAAACTTTTATCTGGGCTTGATTACGCTAGAGAGGCTCAGTGGAAAGAAAATTAAGTGATATCGTGCAATTATTGTTGACCATGAGGATGATGGTAATGAAGATATTCATACTCATAATTGTGTTGCAGAGATGATAGTGATGACAATGGTGCTGTTAACAAAGCTGATTAAACCGGAGCTGAGGGTGACGATGATGATGATAATAATGATGCTTGCTGGCTGTTTGAGCAATGTCCATGTTTTCACCTTGTTCCAGATGGAGAGAGACAGACAGAGGGGACGGACGCCGGCCGTAAGAGGGACACTCGCTCCTCGGCTGGTCACCACAAGAGTGAGGACACCAGCGACAGCAGGGAGGACGAGCCTGCAGTGAGTCTTCCTTCATGTTGTCTTTCTTCTTTTCCGTCTCACTGCTCGGCGACAAATACTAATAAAGGAGATGTGGGATGATGCAATGCAACAATGGTGGCGAAATATCTGTAATCATTAAAACCCATCTGCAGGATGCCCTTGTGACCCAACCCCACTGCACTGAATTTGAATATTGTTTCCAACCCTGGTAGCACACAGTTCTAAATATATTGTGAAAACATAATTCAATCTAACCTCCTCCTCCTCCTCGAGAGTTTTTCTCATAGCTTTTGTGCTGAGGGATGTGAAATTTCACAGTTTGCATATCCAACCGCAGAACGTGAGGCCGAGTTTGGACCAACGGCAGAGATCATTGGCACTTTCTACATGCAGCCGTAAACCGCGGCGAGGATTTTGACACTTGTACTCTTCATTTCTGCTGAGAAGGTGCGGGGGGGGGCATGCGATCATTTTTATTTCCACACTGTTAATTCGTGGTTACTGCAGATTGCTGATGGACGGTTCGATCGCCGGCGGGAGGAGGAAGGCTTGTGGGGAGTTGCATCACACAGCACTCTAGTCTGATGGAGGTTTAAAATAATCTTCCTGCAAGCAATTCGGTTAATGAATAAACGTTTGTAAAAGAGTAAACCTTTTATTTAAAATATTCATACTATACCAAATGTATTTATTAGCCAAGTCTCTATTAAAACAGTAGTAGATTTTTATTTGAGTGCTTTCACAGCATCATGCTCTGTTTAACATTATTATCGTATGTTTTAATATCCGTAGTGTTCCCTACTCTTATGCACCGCAGGGCAGGGTTTTGGTGAGCGGGCATGTGGAGATGGGAGATGTGGAGGTGTCGAATAAATGAAAAAGACATGCCCAACTGGTTCGTAATCAAGGACCTAAAAGTCACTGGTGCAGATTAGCAGGCGGACATGCCGCTCCCCCACAAACATCTCCATTATTTTTGTTGAACATCTTAGTTCCGATAGTTTTTCAGATAAAATCACTTCATATTTGATCTTCCCTTCGATATTCTGTACGGGATCCGAACACCAGTTCGCAAAAGCCCATACTGAGCGATTCAACCCCCTCCTACCCGTGCTGTCCTCCTGTGTGTCATTAGAACCCCCTCCTTCCTCAGTCCACCGGCTTTCCGGGCCAGAGCCTGCCGCTCACGTTGACGGGCCGTCTGCCGTGACGTGGCACATTGCCTGAGGCTCCGCTATCTGTCGAGCTCCTCGGCGGTGGCAAGAGAATCGGGGTCGTGAAGAAAATGTAGAGTGGTTAAATGTTTACCGTCGCCGTGTCGAATATTTGATGTGAAAGGGGCCAGAAGTATCGTAGAGCAATGAATGACACCGATGGAGGAGATGTTTCCCATTTGGTGATTGGTACAAATGATGGCAGTGTCTGTGCTCGCTGGAGAGGGTCATTAAATCTGGGCTCAAAGTCCCTGAGAAGCTGCTGCATGTGGATTGGATTGAAAACAAAGTAGACTCTCAATAACCATTATTTATTTTCTATGAATAGTTAATAACTGGTTTTGAAGTGTAATTTTGATACACACCGCGTGTGTCTCTGTGTCACACGAAAGCGGTCACGCGGATTTCTGTCCTGCATGTGCGGCAAAACGTCACCCTCAGCGCGGCAGACCAAACGCACACTTTGGCCGCACACACACAACAAGCTGCGGCTGCAGCAGTTTTAAGACCCAAACACGGTTTAAGTAAAAAAAAAAAAAAAAAATGTCAATAACGCTGTATTTCTGTTGACAAACCGAGGGGACCGTGCGAGAGAAGTAGAAGAAGATGATGATATATCTTATTCCGTAAAATGCCGTCGTCTTCAGGAATCGATTCAAGCGAAGGCTTAAGCTAAATGTGCTTGAAGAGATAAGAGTCATGAAGTGGGAACTGCCGGCGTTTCTTTCTGAAAACGGACCCCTAAACCCCAAACCTGCCTGACGGCATTACGGCTCCTCTTCTGTAACCGTCAAATGGAAAGCGGCTCTCCGGATGAGTCGGCCTCGTGCACTGAAGCTCAAATATTTTGGCGGCGCTGTAAGCGTTCTGCTGAAGTCACTGAAATGTGCCTAAAAAAGTTTATGCCCTTGATGAATTTTAATAGCATCGCTTTGTCGTTTTCCTCCCTAAAGAACGGATGATGGATCTGTTTTGCCCCCCGAATAATGATCGCTTGAGCCGTGTTCATATTTGGGCGATAAACACGCTCTAAATCACCACTATTGCAATATGGGAGATGGAGTCGGCCTTCAGCAGGAGGTGCTTAGTAGGATTGACAATCCTTAACGTGGCTACCTGTAACATGGCTTATTGGCATCGAGCGCTTTGTTATATCCCTCTGAGAGGTGTGTGTTTGCGCATCAACACTGCTCACCCTTAAGACTCTCCTGGTAAGCTCCATAACCGCATCTCCCTTCATCCATAATTCACCTGCCCATTTACCGGCTCTTTGTTCCAGCGATCCTAGACTTCCGAGTGTGTGT